ATTTATACAAGATGGAGTGTTTCTAACTGAACTGGTGAAGTGACACTAAAATGAGACATTACCATCTCTGAGTCATATGTTATTGAATGTTACAGCCTGATTTGTAGATGATTCCTAAACCCACTGGTGTTGCATTTTGGTCTGTTTCTGCAACTTTTGCTGCACATAAATACAAGTGTAGTTGTGAATGCACGCAAATGGTTCACTAAAGTGAAGAAAATTATTCTTATGGTCTGGGAGTATGTATTTTTATATGTCGTTATTGAGGATGCTCTTAGCCAATGCTGGCCTATTTCAAAATGTTGTTAGAATATTATGAACGAGAAATTTTGGGGAAATGAAGAAAATGTGTATCTGTTTAAAAAAGTAATTGTCTTGCCCCAAGAATGCAGATCGATATAAAATTTTATTAGCAAAAACAAAAGTTGTTATGTCAGCAGAAAATAAAAAAAACTTACATAAGCATGGATGAGTCTCACAAAGAGATATGGAGAACATGGAGGTAAACCTGACATGGTGCGAGAACATATTATGCTCCACTGATGAGGAGATGAGAAACAGCTGAGCTGATTGAAACGGGCAGATGTGAGTGGGCGTGGCAGAACTGAGAAGCAGGGAAATGACTGATAATGGCAGGAACACAGGGAAGCAAAAAACTAATTGAACACAAAGCAAATACAGAAACTAAACACTACAAGGAACAAACAGAAAACCAAATATTGGAAAACAATGACTATGATCATAACTGGTGTAGAGTAGATGCAGTCTTAGTTTGAAATGGATCTTAGTGGGCTGGGTTTTTTTTTTTAATCCATCAAGCCCAAACAGTCTCTTTAGATTAGGTTGTTTGCTTCATTCACAATCCAAATCCTAAAGAAAACAAATTGTTTGCTTTAAAAAATACCTTCTGGATGACCTCGAAGCTTATTCCTTCCAACTCCCTTTACAAAATAAAAGTTCTGTACAATGGAGATAAAAGCTGTTCAGACACTTCTTCAAAATGAATTTCACTTCTGATTTACAATGCCACACTGATAACACAGGCAATCAACGGGTGGGGCACATAAATGAGCACAACGATCATGTTCTGTTTTATTTTCCTCATTAGCTCTGCTTCTCTACACAACCCTTCTTCACTGGAGCACACATGCAGAAAGCGCAGCGCTGTCGGCACGGGCAGAACAAATGGCTCAACCGGTGCAAACTGTGTTCAGACAAGGACTGAGGGTCTTCCTCCTCACCAGGCATGAACAGAGGAGAGGCCTGTTTCCAGGCAAACACAGAAGACGTCACGTCTCTGCTTCTCTGCCGTACCAGAAGAGTGTCTCACTATTGATTGCTGCTGTGTAAATTGCTGAGCAATCTATTTGAAACGTCAACAAGAGAGCGTCACACTGTGTGTGTGTGTGTGTGTGTGTGTGTGTGTGTGTGTGTGTGTGNGTGTGTGTGTGTGTGTGTGTGTGTGTGTGTGTGTGTGTGTCACAGAGGAGCGTGTCTGCAGACAGAACAGTGTTGCAGCAGAAAAGACTCAAGTCTCAGAGTGTTTCTGCACACTGTGTTCATTTGCATGGACTGACTCACAATAAGCTAACATTTTCCTCTGAGCATGACTGCACTGAACTGCTCATTTACTAGAGACAGAGTCCAAAAAAACTCATCTCTTCTGCCAAATCTAAGCTCTGCCAAACAGCTTAAAGAATTTTGAAATCACGCATCCAATCTATCTTAATCTGGTCAGCAAACGTTTTTTTTTTTTGTTTGTTTGTTTTTTTTGTCATCGAGTAAATTCTTCACCCAAGGCGCAGAAGGACATCTGGAAACAAATCTAATCTGCAATCCTGAGTGGCGAACAGCCAACGTTGTTGTTGCTCCGTGAATTAAGACAGCAATTAGAGCACTTAAGAAATGAGGATCTGCTGTAACAATCTGAGGCCAGACAGGAAAAGATGGGGCAGGTGGTCAGTTTGTTTTAGTGTTTATAGGTTAGATGTGGAATGGAGAGAAGATCACTGACAAAAGTGAAGTTTTGACATTACCATGACAGACGTGGGATTGAAGCAAACAGGAGGAGCACAATGAAGGCCAGTTTTCAGACTCGAACACTACTGGGGACTCAAAAACACAAAATGCAGAAAAAAAGTAGAATGATTCTGCAAGGTTCAATTATTATTATTATTATTATTATTATTATTATTATTATTAATTTATTTGTTTATTTTTTGTCAAGCAGGTTCACCTTCGTGTTGTACTGTGACTTTTTCTGTAGAAAGAAACTTAACACTAGACGTCTGCACACAGTGGTTTAGCCTAATTCTTAGCAGAATGAATCCAGCCACTAAGTATTAACAAGGGGGGGTGTCAGTCCTCGGGGTCTGCACAGCCCACCACAGGATGCATTAACAGAGGCCGGGCTCATAAGATTTGTAAAAGTGTTTCACCAGACAGGCGACCGAGGGATTCCTCTGACATTTGTGCCACATTATTAAATGTAGTGAAAACATGCTGCACATCATGGTTTTGATTTAGTCCTGACACCCACTGTGAAGAGGGTAAATGATGTCAAAATATCAAGGATTGAGCGGGGTTCAGAACAGAAAGTTCAGTATGAGACAACATAGAGTAATTTCCACCTGTCAGTACAAACATTGTTTAATTCTCATTGATCAAATCAATGCATCATTACTCCACAATGTGGGAATTGTGGCTCAAATAAAAAGCACCATTTCAGTTTTTCTCTACCGTCATAACGAGTGTGCTTCCTCTAATACAGGCTGTATATCAGGCTGTCTTTGTGATGTCTGCTGACTGCTGCAGCTGTTAGTGAGGTCAGGCGTTTATTAAGTAAGCTCCATATGGATGCAAAATGAGTTTAGCATTTTAGATGCAAACGTTTGGGGGCATGGCCTCGGAATATTTAGGTCCCTGTAGAAAATTAGGTGGGAAGACATGACGCTCATCATTCATGACCTTTATAAACAGCGAGGAAAGAAGAAGCCAAAACACGTGTGTTGTAGAAAGAACAAAGTCCAAGTTTTTGTTGTTTTTAATTCATTTTCTTATAGTAAATATGTACTGTATGGCTTCTAATGCTTTAAACTTTAAAGTAAAGCCTATAGAGCTAAACAAAACAAGAAACCACTCCTCCTTTCTAAATTAAAGAGAAAAAAATGTTTGTTTGCATGTTTGAAATGTGTCACTTCAATTGGTGAGATTTGTGGAAAGGTTATAAACAACTAGCATCCTGCTTGTCGTAGATATTTTGAATTTTCTCAATATGGAAACATAGTGATTAGTTTTGTTCTGACTGAAAAGATAAACACCTGTTTGAGTTTATAGGACCAAGACCAAGTTGGGTTGCTGCTGGTTAAGAACAACTCCAGTTTCAAACATTTCATTGTTTTTGCTGTTTGTGTATTTTTGGCTGCTTAATTCAGCAGGGGTGGCAACAACAAGCAAACTTGCACGACAGATTTAGCAATGATTTTACACCAGATCCCCTTCCTGAGAGCCTCTGGACCACAGCGCCGACTGCCGAGCTACTTCAGCCCCTCAAAGATCGCATAATGTTTCATTTAAATGTTATTTTCAAACCCTTTCATTGTTTCATTACATGGTTCATTACAATTTTTCTGCAGGAATAATTGCATCCTACTGTTAAGTAATAAAGACAATCCACTCAGACACCTAACTATATTATTATTTTTGACATTAACATTGTTTAAACTCATTTGAAGTTGCATTTATCTCTTGATTAGCTTAATATAATGTAAAGTAAATAAATGAGCACTTAAGGTTTAGTGAATCCATTGGGGTCAGTGTCAAAAACTTTTTATTAATTAGTAAAAAAAAATGATGCAAATAAATCACATTAAGGTGAAAGAGACAAGCAAATAAAAAACAGCATCTTCAGAATATTGCTAAGTTATCCGGGTAACTGTTTATGTATGGTTGTGTCAGTTCAGTAGGGGGTTCTACATCAAGCATCAGGATTGTGTTCAGACCAACTCTGAAGGAAGCAAGGTGAGGAAACAAGCAACCAATCCGAGTCCCTATTTTTATACATTAATGTCATTCATTAAGCCATCTACAGCAGGTAAGATATTATTTGTTCAGAGCACCACTCCAAAATAAATCTGAACTATCCCTTTAACTACTACCATCATGTATGACCTATTAGATCACATCAAATATTTTTTTTCTATTTCAGAGCTGCTTCTCTCCTGTTGATTATTTCAGTTCATTTTCAGGAGAAATATTAAAAAGTGAAAGTCAGCCTGTTTTCCTCCCCAGCATGAAGCAGGAGCAGTTTGTTTCCAGTGCCGCCTCTCAGGACGCGCCCATGATCTCTGACCAGCACCTCACATCCTGACACATCCTGACGTGACAGGACGGATCAGAACCACTCCTGAGCATCATGAGTGGGGGGGAAACACGCGGGGTCTAACCTGTTCCCTCCAAAACAAGCACGCTAAAAACGAACACAGGCAGGCGCGTCTCGGATCAAACGTTTCCAGCCGCGGAGCTGCGAGGCGAGGCAACACTTTGGATCATCGGTATGCGCGGCGCTGATAGGCTGGAGCGTCTGTCTTTCCTTCTTCATTCATTTCAAACTGTTACAAAACACTAAATACTCTTTTATATAGGCTACTGTATGTCCAATAATCTCGGCGCCTCGGCTGCTTGGAGGAGGATGTGCGTACACCCTGCACACACCGCTTATATAAACCACATATCTTCTACTCATCTGCGTTTTAGACGTCATGTAGCCTACATCTATAAAATATATATATATATATAAATTATATAGATCTTAATGATTCTGCATTGCGGAGAGCTGCATAAAAGCTCCGTCCGGATCTCTCAGACTTGTAAACAACAGATTTCTCCAGCTGTCAGAATCCGGCTTCTTCAGAAATAATCACAGACAGCATGTTTTTGTTTTTTTTTTTCATCCACCCTCCTGTCCTCCACCTCCCAGCCTTCTCCCCGGTCGACCTTACCTTCTGAGCGGATCCGTCCTTCACGACGCTCGCACCTGCTGAGGAGCAGGGAAGGAAAGAGCCCGAGCCTCGGTCCTTCTGTCCCCTCTGGGCTGGATGGATGGATGGATGGTTGGATGGATGGATGGAGGCTTATGGCTGATCCAACTTTGGGGGGCGCTAGACCTGCTCGTGCCACATGATCAGAGTGCTGTCTCCCCCCACTGTGGAGTCAGGTTTCTCCCCAGAGCTTTGGCACAGCATCCTCACTAGTTGTTGTTTTTCCCCCATTCTTTTCATTTATAAGTTTTTTTATTCTTATTTTTTAAAACACTAAAATGAGCCAAATGAGGTTTTGTCCAGCCAAATATGTGAACTGATTTTGCACACTTCCAACCCAGGCTGACACTTGATATATCATAGAATTCGAAAATAATAATAATAAAATAATAAAAAATAAATATATTCCATTGGACAGGTTTTAATGTAACATTTTGGAGCAGGTGCATCATCCCCACATTTAAAAGTACATCTTTGCTCACCTATTTATACATATGTTTTTTTATTTAAAGCAGGCAGGTGTTTATTTATTCGAAGTTTAATTTCTCACGTACAAGCTAAAAAATATATTAAAGGACATATCATGCTTTTACATCATTCTTTTTTACATTTAAATCATCCTGTTGGGGTCTATATAAAGTAGAACTGCAATGCTTTGGAGTGAATTCCTCCTTATTGTAACTCCACAAGCCCCTCACCCCTTTTCTGAGGTGTGTTTCATATCAACTCGTTGTGGTGCTGTCTCTTTAAATCTAAATGAAGCACACCCCTCCAGTTTCCAGAGCAGTCCACATAGTTTGATAAAGGGGTTTAGAGTGTAGAAACTTCTTCCTTTTTTTTTACAAATTAATTAAAAGATGTAAATAAGGGAAGACTTGTCCGTCCAGCCTCACGTGTGGGAGCCAGAGTCTGACCCAGAATGAGAAGCACGTGATGTAACAGTTCAGAAGACATCATAGAAAATAGAGAAAACTGAATGGGTTGAAAAATATGACCCAAACAGTGTATAAAGGCATCTACGCATCACCAGGGGAGACTAAACTCAAATTTTCTCCACTCTTCAAGAACGCAACAAAATGCTTTTAACCAAAAAAAAAGGTGGATTTTGCAAGATATGTCCCCTATAAAAGCAAGTGTCCATGTTTGACACCTCACCTGAAGTTTTGCAGGAAGTTCCAGCGTTGGGGGAGGGGGGGGGGTATTAATTATAGCTTTTATCTGTTGAAAAAACTCAACCAATTTGGGTGGTTGGGAGGTCACTGCGGGTGAAGTTTCCTGGTGGGTAAAGTCATCTTGAAATTCAAAAGAGATTTGTGCAAATTCTATCAGTGAGTTCTGATTGAGGCTGAACTTCTGTAGAGATGTCCTTCACTCTCAGCATCAGTCTACAGAGAGGCAAGACCCCCCCC